CAGAGAAGTCTCCTGGCTCTAGCCAGGACAGCATGCTGGCTCTGACCTGGCTGGAGGAGGAAGGAAGTGGTTTTTCTGGATGGAAACAGTTCTTATGAAGCAGAACCAGCCCCCTCCTATAAAATACGCAAAGCCACCTGCTGTTACATCAGCAATGCAGACCCTAACCAGAAGCAGAAATACTCAATCCACTCCAGGGCAGATATCTTTTGAGTTCATACAAGATAAGGGGAGATTCCCAAGATTTCAAATTTCAGGTGTCTGCTCCACTGACATACTATAGCTAAGGCTGAGCTAATGAAGATTAACGGATTCCCTTTAAAACAAACCAAGGATCCGAGCATAGATAAAACTCACTTATCTGGAAAGAAACCTGAGAAGCAGGGTCTGTGCCGAACACATCCCTCCTGTTAGTCACCACTTACAACCAGGAGTTCTCCCGTGAAGATTCAGAATGCAACCTGTCAACATTTGGTAGGTGATCAAAGGACCACCCTGAAAATTCTATCCTGGAATCCCTTTCATAGGTTTAATTCTTCTTGTTGAAATATATGTGTAAGATAATGGGGGGGGAAAGCTAGTGAGGCAAGGCTTGACAAGTCAAATATCTTTAAAGTGATGGGTGGTAGATGAAAATATAAAAGCATATTATCAAATTTCTGAAGGGGGGAAAGGATTTCCTATATACAAAAGCAGTGGAAGAAATCACAACAGGAAAGATAGCACAATATTTTTAATGTTAAATTTCTATATGTTACAAAAATGACAAAAAGTTAAAATAAAACAATGTATCTTAAAAACAGGCCAATATCCTTTACATATAGAGAACTCTTAAAAAAATTAAAGGAAAATCAGGAAGATCTTGACAAACAGATGGGTAGCAGACCATTTTCACAAATAAAACACAAAGAAATGGAATACTTTGGGGAAAATATACCACCTCACTATCAGACAAAGAAATATACATTAAAGCAACTATGAGAAGCTACTGTTTCTCAAGACAGGCAAGTATCTTTTTAAATGAAATCTCCCAACAGTGAAAAGGGATTGGTTCAAAGGGTATTTTCCACACACGGAGGGTAGTGGGTATACAGCACAAGTCTTGGGGGAAGCAATTTAGCAACATCCAGCTCTAGCTTCTGAACTGGTCATACCCTTTGATCTGGTAATTCTGTTCCTGGAAGTCTGGCCTAAGGACATATTTTAAAACAGAGATCAGACTTTTTATGCAAAGGAGCTGCTGTTTCTGGGAGGCATGATTAATAATGATAAGCAACTGAAGCAATCTAAATAACCCTAATGAGTATGCTGGATACCTAACTCTGGCTTATGCATATGGAAAATTATGCAGAATGAAAAGTGATTTTTTTCCATTTTTAATAATTACACATGTAATAGAGAAAACTGTTCTCATTATTTAAAAAAAAATTTCAAACATAGAAAGCAGTATAGAAGGCAAATGCTCTCCCTTCTTATCCTTGCTCTTAACCGCTTTTCTTTCCCACCCCCGGGGCTAATCCCCTTCCAGTAGGAGGCACCAGCAGCAGTCTGATGTGGATCTCTCCAGACATTTTTCTAGGCATTTATTTACATGTGTGCATATAACCTCAGATATGCAGGTGATAACACCACCATAATGGCAGAAAGTGAAGAGGAACCAAAGAGCCTCTTGATGAAGGTGAAAAAAAGAGTGTGGAAAAGCTGGTTTAAAATTCAACATTCAAAAAACTAAGATCATGGCATCCAGTCCCATAACTTCATGGCAAATAGATGGGGAAAAAATGGAAACGGTGACAGACTTTATTTTCTTGGGCCCCAAAAGCACTGTGGATGGTGACTGCAGCCATGAATTTAAAAAATGTTTGCTCCTCGAAAGAAACGCTATGACAAACCTAGATAGCATATTAAAAAGGAGAGACATCACTTTGGTGACAAAGGTCCATCTAGTCAAACCTATGGTTTTTCCAGTAGTCATGTACTGATGTGAGTTGGAACATAAAGAAGGCTGAGCACTGAAGAATTGATGCTTTAGAATTGTGGTGCTGGAGAAGATTCTTGAGAGTCCCTTGGACAGCAAAGAGATAAAACCAGTCAATCTTAAAAGAAATCAACCCTGAATATTCATTGGAAGGATGGTGCCAAAGCTCCAATGCTCTGGCCACCGGATGCCAAGAGTCGACTCATTGGAAAAGACCCTGATGCTGGGAAAGATTGAAGGCAGGAGAAGAAGAGGGTGACAGAGGATGAGATGGTTGGATGGCATCATTGATTCAATGGACATGAGTTTGAGCAAACTCAGGCAGATAGTGAAGGACAGGGAAGCCCAGCCTCTGCAGTCCATGGGGTCACAAAGAGTCGGACACGACTAAGCAACTGAACAACAAAAAATGTATCTCAAAGAACTATAAAAATAACATGGAAAAATGAAGCTATATAACAAGCACAAATAAACCTTCAATTTTGATAATACTTGTTTGAAAGAAAAATGTAAAAGTCAAACAGGGCATTTATTTAAAAAGAAGAAAACATTCGAGTATAAAGCTGCCAACTTAAACTGACCTGTTTGCTTGCAGATAACATGGAATATTATACACTGGTCTCTTGAATTGCTTATCACTCAAGACAACTCATAGATATTTAAAATATTTTCAACTCACAGAAAATCCTGATTGTACAAAACCATGGAGAAAAAATTGTACACATCATCTCTATTAACAGAGAGAAAACATCTCTATTAGAATTATTCTGACAAGTTTCAATTTCACTAGAATCTCCAAGAGTCAATATACTGGTATCAAGAGGAATGTATCAAATAATTCAAGCCCAGCGGGCACCTTTCAGATTCTGATATTACCTATGTTGTAGTTATAATTCCTACTAACATTCTATGGGACAAAAGCCAATTCAAATCTGGAACAATATTGCATACTCAGTGGTCCTTAATTAGTCCTGGCTAGCCCTTGATGAGCCAGAATTTCACTGATGCTATTTATTACATCTGAGAGGGTCATTAGCAAGATTAAATAAGAGGAAGTATGCAAAGCAACTTTAGCATTATGCCCAGCACAAAAATACAGGTTCACTTCCCTGGAAGAACCCAAACAAAGGAACTGTGCCTCCATTGTAATATTATACATTTACTTAGCAATCTGTAATTTTCAAAGTTCATCCATCATTCAAATGCAGAGTAGGAAGGAGATAGGTCAATGTATGTTTCCAATTATCTTTGAATTTAAAAGATTTTGTTTCAAGGCTCCTTTCCCTGGCCCAGCATTTAACTTGTAAGAAGGTAACCAGACATGATAAAATCAGTTCAGCTAATCTTTGAAAATAAAGACCATAAAAATTCTCTATGGGCGACAGCTATCAAACTTCTTTTTGAAAGCAAGGTCCCCCTCCCTCTTCAAATTCAAGCTTATTAGATGTCTTGTTAAACAGTGTTGAAAGTAGGGCTGGTCTGGCTGAAGCAGGGTCTAAAACCACCACCGGACCTCCTCTTACTGGGCGGTCCCTCTGCAAAACTTGTGAACACACCTTTCAAGACTCTTTCATTCTATGAATGTGGAAATGAAGGCACAGAGACGTCCAGAACCTTCATCAAGGTTCTGGAATCCCATAAAGCCAAGCCTAGGATCTTTCCACCTCATCCTACTTGACTCCTCAGAGTTAAGACCACAGTCTGTGTTCTCAGGACCAAAGGCTGACATTTCTTACACATAATGCTGAATCCATAAATGCTGAAACTATATAAATCTAAGACAGGTAGCTGTAATTGTAAATAAATTTAACAGCTTCCACTTCACAAAAGTCAGATGGAAGAATATTAGTAATCAGCCTTCTTTTAAGGGGATAAAAATAGCGTTCCCTGGCTGTCAAAGAATTACAACCCACACATAGGGGAATTTATCAGTTTCTAGAACAAAGATAAAGGAAGTCAAAGGGCCACCTTCCAGAATATGAGAGAGGTAAAGAGTAAGTAGCCCTATTACTGCTAGATACACGGAGGGTCTGGTAACAGAGATTGCTCCTTGATTACCCATAGACACTTTCCCCTTCTTCTTCTTCTTTTTTTTTTTAACATTTATTTGGCTGCTCAGGTCTTAGTTGCGGCATGTGAGATATTTTTAGCTGTGGCATGTGGGATCTAGTTCCCTGACCAGGGATAGAACCTGAGCCCTCTGCATTGGGAGCATGGAGTTTTAGCCACTGGACCACCAGGGAAGTTTCTCCCCCTTCTTTCTTAATTACAGAACTCTGATTTTATGCAAGGTGGCCCCAGCTAAGAGATTAAATTTCCCAGCCTCCCCTGCAGATATAACTTATAACTCAGTGACTAAGTTCTGGTCAATGAAATTTAAGTAATCATTGGACAGAACTTCTAGGAAAGCCTTTAAAGGAGTATGGCCTTTTGCCAGTTTTTTCCTTTCTGTTTTCCTTTCTATAATCTGGAACTTGGATGTGATAGCTGAAGTTCCAGCAGCTATTTTGTTATTTTGAGGATATAAACCTCACACTGAAAATGACAGAACCGGAAGAGAGGGAAAGACCTCAGTCCCTGGTAACCTCATAAAGAAGCCATCAAAACGGCCCTATAACACTGTACCTCTAAGCTTATGTGTATGTGTGTGAAAGAATAAATCCTTATAATTTTTTAAATCAATACTAGAAGCCAAATACAATCCCTAACCAATATTGACCTTGGACTCAGAAGCAGAAGCTACAGAATCCGTGCAGGGATAGGTCAGGAATGTGGTGATTCTGGGAAAGGAAAAAGTTCATCACATGCCCTCCCCTACCCCTAGCCAGATTTTCAAGAAAAATTCCAGAGGAGGTTAGGGGAGCGCAAGTACCCCCAAGTCAGATGACTAGTAGTTGAACTTACCAAAGTTGGACAGGAAAAGTATATAAGTCTGTGAAAGCGGAGGGTGTCAGGGTGACCAGGGTGTGGACCTGCATCACTTTATCCACCACATCTGGCCAGAAGAGGGCCCCATTTTTACCTCTTCCAGGTTGCAGAACTCCTGACGCAGGGCCAGCTTCAGATCAGCGCAGTCTCTCCCGCATCTCAATGCTACCAGACACTCCTTGGTCAAATGCGGGACCTGATCGGAGGACACAGGTTCTGAGCAGAGAAGGCGGAGGGCACTCCGTGCTCCTGCTTTGCCTGACAATGCAGCCAGAGCTCTGTCCCTCTGCCAACAGTGCCACCTGACGGCGACCTCTGTGGTTTCAGGAATCCACGTGTCACAGCACACTGGTGAACAAGGTGCTTTAAAGGGTTCTCTCTGGTACTCCTTACTTGTTCAGCTATTTCCATACTGTGCAATCTTAGGTGAGGCATTTATCTTCTTTAAGCCTCAGTGTTCTCATCTGAAGAATGGACACAAGAATAGTACCCACCTTAAAGGGCAGTGGAGAGGATTAAACAGATTAACCTTTATAAAATAGTTAGAACAGTGCTTGGCACATCGCTAGTGCTCCATAGACATCAGTCACTAATATCATTGAGTCATTTTGGTTTCTTTTAAAAAAAAGTTATCATAAAATTTCTCCATAACACTCTCTCCCAATATCAACAGTTGTCCCCTTTTCTCTCTTCTTAACATTTCCTGGACAGTTGGCACTCTTGTTCCCCATAAGGGGCAATCTCCTTCTGTGCATTACCGTTTTCACACCCCGGTATTTTTTTCACCTGAGACCTTGGAAATAGTTCCTTCAAAGTATTTTCACTCCTTCAATATTCCTTGTCTCAAGTTACACAATCATAACTATGCCATAATCATAACTCTTGAGACTGCCAGTTCCACTAGAAAAGTAGCTACTGGCAAAGACTTTAACCTTTAATATCAGAGGTCACAGCTTTACTGTAATTCCACACCAGTTATCCTCCTAAGGCACACACAGGTATTAAAACAAATCAATTTCACCAATGATTTGACTTTTAAAATGGACTGGAGTTTGAGAAAGACATACAAAGTAAAATAGAGTGTTAAGTGTTTTTGTTTTTGTTTTTAAATGGATATACCTTATAGAATAGCTCCAATAACATCTTTTGGCGAGCTCGCTCATAAGGGTCATATGGGTACAGCTTCCTTCCAGGATAAGCGTCATCCAGGTACTCACAAGCGATGACAGATTCATAGATCAGTTGACATTTGCTGTTTTCCAGGACAGGAATTTGGCCAAAAGGATGTTTTGTAAAGTACCATTCAGGCTTGTTTCTCAGGTTAATGTTGATAACTTCATGTCTTATAAAGCAAAGGGAAAACAGGACAGAACAAAAATGAGAGGATTAGGCAGACACTCATCTTTTTTTTTTTTTTTCCAAAGTGCACAAAGACCCCATGTGAGATCTTAGTTTCTAGACCAGGGATCAAACCTGTGCCCCATGTGGAACAAGTAAAAAGTCTTAACCATTGGACTGCCAGGGAAATCCCCAGACACTCATCTTAAAAGCAGAAACAATCAATCTATAAAATTAAAATTTGCAACAAGTTTTTTAAATTGAGGTTTGTACAAAGAAAAGTACATAACAACATCATTCTTCTTTTCAGCATTAGGATGTGTTTGATGTTTTCTATGCCTTATCCCGTTTGCTCTCCATGATTCCCATGAAGTGAACTGGGGAATCATGATGAGGTGCAAACAAGGGAAGGCAAAGAAATCATTTAACACATCCCTTCTGAGAAATAAGGCTCCTTGTGGTTCAATCTCTTGCCCAATATCATCCACCAGGAGGTAGCAGAGCCAAGATGGGAAGCCAGGCAGTCTGACTCAGAGCTCACAAGCTTAACCATGGCACCACAGATTTTAGTACATTTTAAAGTCTGAAAGTACAAATCTGATATCTGGAGACATTAATTTTCGTTTGCCACAACTGGAGGGAGGGGGATTCTACTGGCATCTAATGGGCAGAGGCCAGGGACGCTGCAAGATATCCAACAACACACAGGACAGCTCCTCCCCCTCACCAAATACACAAAGCCGAGAATCATCTGCCCCAAATGTCAGCAGCGGCCAGGGTGCCAAGGGTGAGAAACCCCGCCCTAAAGAAGGATTTCCATCAATTCACAAGCTGCCACTTCATCACTGTAGGTAAACATCAGTCTATTGTTTTCTTTTTTCTTTTTAAAAAAGTAAACTTTGGGCCAACTAGAATTGAGCAAGAGGGAATAACCTGGAAAAAAGCCATAGACACTCCACAGAGCAGAATTATATAATTTTTTTTTAAAGTCTCTGTAATAGTCTCTGCATCTCTATAACACAAAACTTTGAAGTCATCCCCTAATGATACATATTGGAGGCTGGAGTAACACTTTAGCTTTGAGCTGGCTCCATGCAACCTCCCTCATTCCAGTAAAGTTGCCCTGCCTTCAAAATCCAGACCTCCTTTGCAGGAGCTAGTCTTGCAAAATTCCTTCTACAACCAGTGTGCACCCATTTTTCAGGTGTGTGGGAAACCTCTTGATAGCAGTTCTTCCCATTTCTTTGTTTGGAACTATTTGTTCATTCATTCAAAAAATAGTTTTAAGTACCTATTACTGGCCAGGTTCTCTTCTAGCCCATGAATAAGAAAGACAAAGTCCCTGCCTTCAGGAACATACATTTGTGTGTGTGTGAGAGAGAGAGACAGTGTGTGTGAGAGTGTGTGTGTGAGTGTGGGTGTGGGTGTTGGGGAAGGGGCAATGGAAGTGAGGCTGGAGAGTGTGGAGGAAAAACAGATAAGTAAGGAAACGTTGTTAGTGCAATAAATGGAACAGAACTGACCTGAATATACTTGGGGTGGGATCTGGGCTGCATTTCATAGAGCTGTCAGAGAAGGCCTCCGTAGCCTCCGCGGTCCCCTCTTTCACAAACGTTAGGGAAGAAACCCAGCTCACCAGGGCCATCATTCGGTTTATTCCGAATGGTCCTAACAGTTTCCTGCAGAGACTTGATTCTGCATTTCAGGATGGCCCACTCAAGAACCCACCTGCCCTCTGCTAACCGTTTACTGACTTCGTCTCAGAAGAAAGTCACAGAGAGCCCGTGACACCTAAGCGGGGCGCCCCAGATGGTGAACGTTCCCGAGCGCCTCCGGGGCCTCCCGCCGCTCACCTGATGCCTTTGGCCCGGAGGACCAGGCGCGTCCTGTGCGCGTAGGGACAGAACCTCATGCTGTAGAGGCGGATTACGCCTTCAGGGACCGGCCCTGGGGGGATGCTCCCTGCGGGTGGAGGGGCGTACAGGGAGGCGGATTAGCCCTGTGTGCAGAGGGGCTCACTCGCCTTCCCAGGACCCCACGAGAGCCGCGGGCCTCCGCCTCCCGGGCCCCAGAGAGGACACTTTTTTTTTTTTTTTTTTTTTGCACGTGGCTTTTTTTGTGGAGGAACCGCTATCCTCCTCGCCGCCGCGCTGGTCTGCGAGTCAAGGACCGGAAACCGCCTCTCCAGAGCCAACATCCAGCCACCCGGCACCCCCAGCCGGCGGGCAACTGTCAAGAGGACTCACCTTTCCCCAAGGTCCTGGTCGCGTCGTCAGTCATGCTCTCCCGGCGTCTGCGCAACGACCAACGCTCACAGTCTTTGCCGTGAGGCTTGCTGCCGCCGGCGCAGGGTCCAAGGACAGCAGGGTTCCGGCGCGCCCCGCTGGCCCCAAATGCAACTTTGGAGCAACAGGGCTGTGGCGGGGTCGTAAGGAAGTGATCCAGGACGGCAGCTAAGATAATTCAACCTGAGGAGACAGAACCCCAGATTCAGAAACCAGCGTAGCAGGAGTGTGAAAAACAAACCAACCTGAGAAGTAGCCCTTGCTTTGAACTCACAACATCCTGCGCGGCTTTTTCTCTGCATCAAGAATCTGTGAAGAACAGGCATGTGAATTCCACTTATTCCAAGGGAGTTTAATACAAATTGACCAGGCTGACACTAACGTTTTCTTTCTCATTCGAAGCCCTCCCTCCCGGCCATACTCTGTACATAAGTGTACTTTATCTTAAAATAAGGCCAAGGGTTTCCCGGTGGCTCAGTGGGACAGGACTTGGATCTCTGATCAGGGAAGATTCCATATGCCCAGAAGCAGCTGAGTCCATGCACCACAACTATTAGGCCTGTGCCCTAGAACCTGGAAACCACATGCCATCCAACCATCTCATCCTTAAGTGTTAGCTCTTTATTATCATCTGCATCTCTCTCAAGGAGAGGCCACATGGATGAGAAGCCCAGGCACAGCAACTAAAGAGTAACCCCTGCCGCTTGCCATCATGCAGCAATGAAGACCCAGTACAGCCTACATACGTTAATTCATTATAAAATAAGGCCAAACTTTTTCATCATCTAGCAGATAAGAAGAAAAACTTAGTGTTAAGATCTTGCACGACCCTAAAGTGTCTCCTTTAATTTTATGTCCTCACTACTTTAGTTCCAGCCTTATTTATGAGATTTTACTCGTTATGAAAAACTGGTAATGAATAGGAAACAAGATATCTAGAGGCAGAGACAAATCTGTGCGTGCTCTTCAACTCCCAGTATACATTTCAGAGCAGACCCTTTTTAATTACCAAGGACATACTGCCAACAGCCCAGCAATACAGAGGTCACTTGGATAGCTCTTCCATCTACATGAGATAAAGGGGGTAACTAGCCTTTGCTCTGACCCTAAATCACTGCAGATGGGGACTGCAGTCATGAAATTAAAAGACGCTTACTCCTTGGAAGGAAAGTTATGACCAACCTAGACAGCATATTAAAAAGCAGAGATATTACTTTGCCAACAAAGGTCTGTCTAGTCAAGGCTATGGTTTTTCCAGTAGTCAAGTATGGATGTGAGAGTTGGACTATGAAGAAAGCTGAGCGCAGAAGAACTGATGCTTTTCAACTGTGGTGTTGGAGAAAACTCTTGAGAGCCCCTTGGACTGCAAGGAGATCAAAATAGTCAGTCCTAAAGGAAATCAGTCCTGAATATTCATTGGAAGGACTGATGCCAAAGCTGAAACTCCAATACTTTGGCCACCTGATGCGAAGAGCTGACTCATTTGAAAAGACCCTGATGCTGGGAAAGATTAAGGGCAGGAGGAGAAGGGGATGACAGAGGATGAGATGGCTGGATGGCATCACCGTCTTAATGGACATGAGTTTGAGTAAACTCTGGGAGTTGGTGATGGACAGGGAGGCCTGGCATGCTGCAGTCCATGGGGACGCAAAGAGTCGTACATGACTGAGCGACTAACTGAAATGAACTGACTGGTGCGTAAAAAAGGAACAGTCAACATATCCATGTCATGTGAGAGCTTCTGGTAGACAATGAAATGACTCCTGATCAGGTAAATGTGACACTCCCATAAAGGAAGTATAGTATTTCAAATAGTTGACTTTCATATAAACAGATTCTAAAGGGAAAGGCCATATGAGGAATGTGAAACTCTCTAAACTCAAAGTAAATTATACTAACATGTATTTAATGCTTTATGTGTATTAACTCACTAAATCCTTAAAATAATCCTACAAGGGTTCTCTTCTTACCTCATTTAAAAAGACAAGTAAGCTGAAGCTAGCAAGTTTAAGTCACTTGTCAAAAGCCTGATAACTAGTAAGAGGTGGAAGGAGGTTTATGAAGCCTGGAAGTTTGATTTCCAGGGCAAGTCACTCCATCTAGAACCTTCATCTATACCAGAGATGGGCAAACTTTTTCTGTTAAGGTCAAGACAGTAAACATTTTAGGCTTCTCAAGCCATCTTGTCTCAGCTACTCACCTCTACCCTCGTAAGGTGAAAAATAGCCATAGATAATACGTAAATAAATGGGCATGGCTATGTTCCAATAAATCACTATTTATGAATAGTAAATTTGAATTTCATATACAGGTATATTTTAAGAGACTATTTTTTAGAGCAGGTTCACAGCAAAATTTAGCAGAATATAGAAAAGTTTCCTACCAACCTATCCCCACACATGCATAGCCTCCCCATCAACATCAGGGTGGTACACTTCTTATGATCAGTGGGTCTATATTGAAACATCATTATCACCCAAAGTCTATAGTTTACATTAGGACTCACTCTTGGTGAATTTCACGTAGTTTTCACATGTTACAAATTATACTTCTTCACTGAAATGTTTTCCCGTAACTATTCTTAGCTCTTTAACTGCAAAGAAATGAGCAGTGGGCTCAACTTGACCCACTGGCTTTAGTTTGCCCATCCCTGGTATACACGATGACTGGATTAGCAACCAAACTATCCCTGGTATACACTGATGATGACTGGATTAGCAACCAAACTGAGGATTCCATTTGAAAAGTAAAAGGTTCCTGGGTCCATCTTTCTACTACTACACTAGAAGAAGAGAATATATTTTCACATTGTGTCTCCTTATTCCCACCTTTTCAATAAAATCAACTCTGAGAGCTGGTAAATATTGTTTATTAAAAATACAGCTGACCCTTGAACAACTAGAGATTTCAGGGCACTGGTCCACCAGTGCCAGCCCTTCACATCTGTGCTTCTACACCTGCAGATTCAACCAAATGCAGACCATGTAGTACTGTAGCATGTATTCAGTGAAAAAAAATCCATGTAAACATGGACCCTTGCAAATAAAACCCATGTTGTTCAAGAGTCAACTGTATACTTGTATTAATATATGGGAAGTAACGGGGTGAAGGGAGAAGGCAATGGCAGCCCACTCCAGTACTCTTGCCTGGAAAATCCCATGGATGGAGGAGCCTGGTAAGCTACAGTCTGCTGGGTCGCGAAGAGTTGGACACGACTAAGCAACTTCACTGTCACTTTTCACTTTCATTCATTGGAGAAGGAAATGGCAACCCACTCCAGTGTTCTTGCCTGGAGAATCCCAGGGACAGAGGAGCCTGGTGGGCTGCCGTCTATGGGGTCGCACAGAGTCGGACACGACTGAAGCGACTTCTTAGCAGCAGCATGGGGTGAAGGCCTATTTGATGTAGTCAGGGGAGAATGGACAAAGGGGTGGAATGTCTTTCCTCTGAAGGGAAGGAATATCATGTCAAGGTTCTCACTTGGCTCTATATTCAAACCCTGACCTTGGCACTTAGGCAATCTATCTAACTTCTTTGATCTTCATCTTCCTCACCTGTAAAATGAGAACACTAAGTACCTACTCTCTGGGTTTTGAGTATCAAATGCAATTGTTCAGGTGGCTATCCTCAGTATAGTAGGAGTTTAGTCTACTTCGAAATTAATGATTAATCCTAGTGAATAAGGACACATTTTTAATAGTATAGTACTTTCTGATTTTATATCCAAAAAGATAAAATGCACTGCAATTGAGCTTTGCCTTGCACATCAGAATTAAAGTTCAACTCAGAATGCTTATTTCACCAGTTACCTATTTAACAACAACTGAATGGGCTGAATGCTGCAGGTTACATTTCAGTTTTTAATCTTACCACTGAACAATATGGTTACCCTAGAAAGATTTTAATTATGACATTTAAGTTTAATCCTATTTTCTCTTTGAGACTCAGTAATTACCGCTTGGAAATCCTCTTTGCAAATTTCCCTTGTTTATTATTATATCATGTTTACACCTCTATTATACTGAGTCACTCAAGCAAGGAATAAATGGTAATTAGGCTACATTAAACCTACTCCAAATTGGTTTCCAGAGACCAGAAATATGATCAGATCTGTTTTGAAAATGTGGAGATCTTCAGTTCTGGGTGAAGAAGTCTTAAGCTTTCTAGGAAAAAAAAAGTGCCACCACAGAAATAATCTTTTCACTCTATTTACATGAGTCTCTGTTTTGAGGAGAGGAAATGGGGTTTGCATTTTGCAATTTTTTTAAGTTGTTTTGTCATACTAATCTTGGATAGTGGAAGAACTTGTAAGACATTCCTCTTAATATTTCAGAAGCTTGATTTACATGACAGATTATGTTACTGAGAGTTCCACTACTGTTCACCAAGTTCAAAGAGTTAGACAAGTGAGGGAAAAGGCTCTTTTACAAGTGGGCCTAGATTTAGGACTTGTTTTCAAGAAGTTAGGATCATAAAGCATCTTGTGTTCTAATGTCTCTGGGATATTAAATAAGATTACTAAAGTTGTCAGTGGGAGAAGCATCCTCTTTGCAATGGGGGCAGGGTCAAAGGAGGCTTTCTAAGTTTATAACTTAGAAAGTTATTTTATCTTATAACTTTTTATAAAAGTTATAAGTTATGGAATCAAAGAAAAAAATTAACAATTTTCCACTTGAATAAGCAATGGCAGACTCTCAAGATCCTAAAATAAGCCAAAATCAAACATTTGTAAAATCAAACAAAACACATCGGGTTTCGAAAAGGAATGTCAACACTTCTGATATAGCCCAGGCATAATAGCGGTGTCAAAAAGGTGGATACAGTCCTCTTCCAGCTCACTGTCTAAAACCTAAAAGTTGATGAATGAAGTGTCTGGGGCAGAGTTATATTCTTATTTTCAGAATGATCTGAATGACTATAAGAGCTCAGACTGGATTTGAATCTCCTCTTCAGCATTTACTAGCTGGGTGACCCTGGACGTATTGCAGCTTTCTATGCCTTAGTGTTCTCATGTGTAATTCCCAGTCAATGGTGCCAATACATTACGTGGTTCGGGGAGAATTAATTCAGACAGTGGATGACAGGCCTGTATTACTTAGGATCCCTCTATTACCTAGTAAGCATTCAACAATAGCTACTATTTTTATTATCTGAACGTAGCATGGAAGAGCCATAGTTCCGACAAGACAGAACATTCCTGGGGACCAAAAGCCCCCGACTGCCAGTGCCCTGTGCTGTGCTGTATTTAGTGTCCGACTGTGACCCCATGGACTGTAGCCCACCAGGCTCCTCTCTCCGTGGGCTTCTTCAGGCAAGAATACTGGAGTGGGTTGCCATGCCCTATGGGGGGCGTCGCAGAGAGAGGCGGGGTCCAGGCGGAACCCGCCCCTTAGAACGCGACTCTATCCGCCAATTGGCCCCGGCGCCCAGAGGTTCACCAATCCTCCAAGCCTTTGGAAGCGCTCCAGGCGAGCGGTGCAAAGCTGAGCTAAAGGGCGGCCGCTTTACAGGCTCCTGGGTACCGGAGTCTTGGATCCCAAAGTGTCTGTGGCTGGCCAAAGTGGAAGCTGAATAGTGCCTGGTCGTGGCACCTCAGCGCCCGGGTCTACATCCGACTGAAGTCCGCCCGCAGCCGACCCCGGCTTGTTGGGTGGGGCAGGCGGACGGCAGCAGAGATGGGTCAGCCCGGAGCGTAGGCATTGGTGGCGGCGGAGGTGGGCGGCTGGAGACCTTTTGTGAAGTCAACCAGTTCACTGCTGCCTCCTAGGGTGCGGCCCCCAGGTCGCCTGCATCACCATAGGGCGAAAGACCCATTTCATAGGTGTACTCCTGGGCCCACCCGGACCAACCGAATCGGAAATCCAGGGGTGAACCTTAGGGGATTGTCTTACTTTTAAGAGTATGAGGGCAGGTCGAAAACCCGCTCCCTAGTTCTGACGCAAGAGCCCTATACTGGGTATGTTCTCCAGCACTTTCCTCCCGCATCTTAAGACTTCAGTTAACCTCAGGACCGTAATTGAATCATCTGTAGAATGAAATGATGCTCTCCGACCTACTTTCTAATGGAGGGGATGTGATGATAGAAAGTGAATAGTGAGAAGCCCAATGAGCTATGGAAGTGTATAAAGACAGTATTTCCGAATTACTCATCCAGCTTTAGAATGGATGTGGCCTTCTCAGCATTTAGTTATATACACGGAACACCTTTTGTGCTGGGCAGCATAGGATTTGGTAGGAAAGATTTTGAAAGGGTTAGTGATTGAAGCCTGAGAGAACCAATAGGAGACCACCTAGTCACCTGGCTTTGAGTTAATGTGGGTCTGGACTTCAGTGGCAACAGCAGTTATTACTGTTGTATGAAAGGCATGAAACGGTGACAGACATGGAAATGAAAGAATGAGGAATTGAAAAGTTCTTAACTCAGAACCTAGAAGACAAACTTGAAAGGGCATCTCTTTGGAATGACAACACAGTATCTGTGGGCAGTTAAAAAATCCAGATTGACTTCCAGCTCTCACTAGAGGTGATTTAGAAATTTTCAGCATGGAGTGTGATAGAACGCTTAGAGTCATTTGAACATCCTGAGACAGGAAATGTGTTTATATTGCTGCAGGAGGGCCTTGAGGAAAGCCCACAGTATGACCAAATTTGGTGTCAAATCAGAGGTGATTCAATAAGACATGAGAGCACCGGGTAAAATAAAACCATGGTATTATTCATATCAGTGAAGGAAAGTATCAGCTATGTCTTCATTGCTGACTCTTGTCCCCATCAGAGTCCGTAGTCACAGGCCTCGGGGCTGTCCTGCAAGTAGAGGCTGAGGAAACCTTGAAAGGTCTTCACATCGGTGAGGAGGGATGATACTGTGGGGTCCTTCTTCATGGCTGCCATCCACAGCTTAAGGGTTGGAGCCTGGTCCACACACCTGTGGGAGATGGAAACAATGAAGGGATGAATAAGGCTAAGTAGGAAGGCACTGCAAAGGCTCCTATAACTCTGCAGTTTCATATCATTTTCCTCTAATCTTTTCAAACAGTTTTAGAAATACTTCTTTAAGATGTGCATAATCATAAAATATGAGATTTGGAAGATATTGTAGAGGTCCTTGTTTTGTGGAAGAGGAATCTAAAACTAGAGTGCAGTGACTTGCTCGGTTAACCTGAGAACTTGTCCAAACTGAGAGACTGATAGCTTTTTAAAATGAGAATGTGAAAGACAATCAAGAACATGACGTATTTATTACTCTGTGGTCAGACTGTGACTAATAGTAACTAAGCAGCTCTAAGCTCTAGGAAATGGAAGTAAGCCAAGGTGGTGGCTAAACTTTAAAACATGGAGTTCAGGAAACAGTATGGGACTCTTGCTGGTAAATGGAAGGTGGCATTGGTCACACAATCCTGCCTGACATCCTTATGAAAATGTGCCTCCTTATGGATTTTTAGCCAGGAGGGGAGAAGTAAATCACTTTGCAAACATTTTACTACCTGTTACAGAATTCCCCACCCCTGCCCAGCCCAGAGATGGGAGAAAATGGTGAGTGTAGGTATACGACATGCTCTGGAAAGTCCAAGTCTCTGCCTGTCTTCTTGTTCCCATTCATGTCAACTGAATGAGATACATTCATTTTTGTCTATATGAAAGGTGAGTATATATTATTCCAGTTATCATTGTCCTAAATTATGCAAAAAATATTCAAATGTCTTACTCATTCAACTCCAGAGCTTCCAGCCGTTCGAACCAGGGCCAGATGAGGTAATCAATCATAGAAAGAGAACTGCCGCCAAAGAAGGCTGTCTTCTTGTCAGTCAGAACCTGAACATGAAACAGCCCAAGAATACTGTCCATCAGGACTAAATGGATGAACTGTGCAGCAGTCTATGCTGGAACACTATACAAAGAATAGGAATGAACTATGTACAATATACACAACCTCAGAAACTTGATACTGTATGAAAGAAGTCAGACCCCAAAGTGTATATTATATGATTCCATTTGTACAAAGTACAGAAATCATTCAGAACTAATATTCTGTCTCTTGATATGGATGCCAATTTCATGGCTGTGTTCACTTTGTAAATTCAAGCTGTACTCTTACGCTTTGGGTAAATCTCTGCATATGATACGTCAATAAAAACTTTACTTAAACTGGACACAACTAGATTAACTGTTAAACAATGCCAGGTAAAATTCTTTGAAAACCAAGTACAAAAGTATGTCTGAAATTTAAGCAGGTGAATTGATATTATGGTTTTGCAAACAGAAGATTGAAAATATTATCTGGCTAATAAACACCAAAGCATGTTATAAAACATCCATGATTTTTCTCAGGGCCCTTATAACATCCTGCATTGTAGATAGATTATTTATATCTACCTGAGTATTTATTTTTGGTCTACTATCCAACCAATCATCTGAACAGTATGGACTGCCTCTCACTTTCTACCTCCCATTCTGTTCAGCAGAGTGCCTTGCAGTTATTAGGCACTCAGAATTGTACAATGAACCAATATTGTCTAGGTCTGTCCTTAAATTGTAGTGCCTGGTTTATTATATTATAATAGTATATATTATATATAATATATATATTATGCTGACTATATTATGCATAAGTAAAATTATGTATGATAGTTTCAGTCAGAAGGAAATACTCTCAGCAGCCTGAAACATGGAAATAGTACCACTCACTTTAACGGATGAGTCCTTAACCTGGAGTCTGAAATTAGATGGGAATAAAATTATATGTCCCCCAACTAACCCCAAATTTAGTAGGTAGCATGTGGACTTTCTACTGCTTGGGGACTTGGCACCTTAAACTTCTACCTTGTTCAAGAGTCAGTTGTAGTTATACAAAGAGGTTTTTCTAAATCAGGAAACATGATCCTCTTTCTGTCTGTATATATGAGAATATAAAATATGTGACTTTAAAGAAAAATATAAATTACAAAACTGATTCATTACAAATTAATTACAAGTCATTACAGTCCAGTTACAAAACTGGAATATAAAAATCCTGAAAATCAATTAACATTAAGGACACTGAACTACTGGTTAAAAACTCTACCCCTATAAAAGACACCGGACTCAAATGTTTTACAGAAATTGCCAAACCCTATCAAATGGTTTCAGAACTTAGAAAACCAGAAAAAGTAACCTGACTCATTTTATGAGTTGGGAAAATCCCTGATATAAAAACCAAATAGCGAATACCCTGGAGGTCCAGTGGTTAGGACTCTGTGTTTTCACTGCCAGGGGCCTCTGGCATGGCCAAAATGACAAACAACAACAACAAAAAAAACACAAAGACATGATAAGAACAAAGTAGTCTCTTTTATGAACAAATATGCAATAATCAAATAGCAACTAGTTTTAAAATATATATGAAAATCCATTGAAAGCAAGTGGGTTTTACATAGTAATACTGGCATGGTTCAACACCAGAAAAATCTGTCAATGCTACTACCATACCTGTTCACCAGATTAAAGGGAAAATATTCAGTGAACATTTCAGCAGATGTAATAGATGCAGACAAAATACTCAATAAAATCCAATACTCTCATGAATTTTAAATATTAGCAAACTAGTAATAGAATTTTCTTAATGGGAAAAAAAGCTTTGAAAAAATCTACAGTAAATGGCAACCCACTCCAGTATTCTTGCCTGGAAAATCCCATGGACAGGGGAGCCTGGTGGTTTACAGTGCATGGGGTCGCAAAGAGTTGGACATGACTGAGTGACTTCACTTACTTTACAGTAAATTCCAAATTTACTGATAAAAGGTTACGATGCATTTCCATATGAGTCAAGAACTGTGTCTTCCCTCAGTAAAAACTTAAGGCTGAGTGTAAATGGAAGAGAATTCCATATAAAGGTCCAAATAGCATCTCTCCCACAAAGGAGAAAAAAACACATCTGGGTTTCCCCAAGTGTCTGTCTAATGGAAGACTCTTGTGGGAAATGTTCATAATATAATAAACATTTTAATATAACTTTATTTAAGTTTTAATGTATAAAATAATTTTATTTCTATAAGGTTTATTATATAATACTAAGTGGAAAAAACCACAATGACTTATGTTCTGATTATAGTTATGTTAATGTTTTAAATATATGTTCAAGGACTGAAAACAAGCATGGAAAAACATAAACAGGTGTGGAAATTTGGTTGAAATTTTTCCTTAATATTTTGGTGTCAGTGTAATAAAAAGTTTCAAAAGCAGGCCCATGACAAAACATTTTTAGGTATTTTGGTTTGTATCTTAAATACAGCAGCTTACAGCTGCTATCTGTTGTAAACTAAAATTTCCTATTTGATATTATTTCTAATTACCTGAAAGTCATTTGGGAGATGGGAGTATGAAAAAAAGAGGAGAAATGAGTGTGGATACAATATATCACTTAATCCAATAAGAATCAAGGAGAAGGGAATGATTACCTCCTCTAGCTTGGTAATTTCTTTTTGCAATTCTTCTTTTAAGCCAGAGCAGTCTTCCTTATTTTGTGTTCTAAGAATCCTCGATATCAAAGGTGGTACCTAGACAGAGAATAATTTCTTAGTTTATCAGTGTGAGGCTAACCATACTGACCCTGTCACATAAAAGCAGGACAGAACCCTCATAGTCTATATCAGGGTATTCTATACACTTGAGATGTGCACCAGTTCCTGTTCACAGAGGTTATATACTGATCCTAGAAACAGTTTTGTCACCAAAGATGCTGTACTGTTCAGGATTTTATAAGCTGCAAATAAGCCATTTTGGTGAGTCTGAATCAAATCTATCTTAAAAGGACACTGAATGGCATGTACTGTACATGAAAGAGGACTTGAAGATAATTTGGCAAAGTGAGAAGGAGAAAGAGTCTTTTAGCAAGAATAGAGAAGGGGTGGCAAGTTTGGGAAAAATAAAAACATTCAGCATGACATGAATATAAAATATTAGGAAAAGAGTAAAGAGATGTAACTTTGAAAAGTAAACAGGGTCCAGATTATGAAAGGACTCGTAGGACATGTCAGAGCCGGCAAGAGCATAATCCTCTTTGTCTTTTCCTTCCAAATCACTGAACCAAGAATGACAGCACTGATTCAGCTTTAAAAACAGAGACATTTTAAATAGGAGCTGAAATTTCATAAACACACACCTTAGAAAAGGACTCAAAGACCATCTTTTGGCAAGCTTTCTCATAGGGGTCACTTGGCCACAGCTTCTTCCCTGGATATGCTTCATCCAGGTACTCACAAGTGATGGCAGATTCACAAATCAACTGACCCAGACTGGTTTCTAGAACCGGGACCAGGCCTGAGGGATTCTTCTTGAAGAACCACTCAGGCTTATTTTTCAGGTTGATGTTGATGACTTCATGCCTAAAAAACACATAGAAGACAGTAACATTTTTCTTGTATTCCTGGATAAAATGTCATTGGTCCCATCACCCACTTAGCTGATCAGACCCCAAATTTTGGAGTCAACATGGCCTTGATTCCTTCCCCCCACCCCCTCTTCCTCAAATCTCATGGATCAGCAAGACCTGTCAGCTAGACCTTCAAATCATACCTACCATACCTACCTTCAAATCAGTCTGACTTTATCTGCTTCTCAGCTTTAACACTTGCCACCTCGTCCAAGACATCACCTGCCACCTGAATCTCTACAGTAATCCCACTGGTCCCTGTGCTTCCCCTGTGACCTCCCTATAGTTCATTCTCCACATCCATTTACAAAAGTAAATTGGATGAGGCCACCCTCTTGCTTACTTATAGCCCCTCAAGTGCTCCTCACTGCAGTGAGGATAAACTCTAAACCCCTTTCCATGCCACGTGATCTGGCCCCTGCTTACCTGTCACATATTTCCTATGACTTCTGGTTTGCTCATTATGATCTGGCCACAATGACCTTTTTTTATATTTCTTGAATTACTTTCTCCATTGTACTGATGATATGTAACTGAAATTACTTTGCTCACTTAATTACATATTTGCTATGTCACTTGCCTAGAATATAAGCTCCAGGAAAGCAATGATCTTGTGTGTCTTGGTCATATTCATAAACAAACATGTAAATCAGCAAAGTTTTAAACATTTAAGTGCTATGAAAAAATATAAACATTTTCAGATAGGTACTCAGTACACACTGGTTGAATAAATAAGTGGAAATGCCTCAAGATTGTCAATTAGATACTCCATTTGGGACTAAGATGTATCTTAATTGCAAAAATAAATCAGCCAACTAAATTGAGTTTGTCCACACCCACTATATAGAATCAACATGATAAAATTTAATTCCTTTTGCTAATTTGAATAGAAAGCTTTTTGTCATTTTTTTATAAGAATATTAGAGAATCCAAAAAATTCAATCACAAATAAGCTCCCAGATTAAATCTCCATGCACTTGATATTTTTTAAAACTGCTACATGGGTAAATCACACTAAGTAAACCCATAAAGAACAGGTGAAGTCCAGACTATACTAAGATTGCTTTTAGATCTAACTTCTCTCTTGTCTGAGAGATTTTAGGGGAAATAAAGAGGAAGGGAAGTTTCATATAATAGCTACAGCCAGGTCCATATCATTGTCAAAGCTGGATGAGTGTTCAATAAAACAGATCAGTTACTCAGGAATAATACACCCCAACATTTTTTGTTTCCTTCCTCCCCATCCACCTCAGTAGCTACAACAGCATTTAGCTTGAGGTACTATTAAATACACAACTCCACCCTCTCCCCCATGGAAACAAAGGAATAGCCAGATTGAACACTGGTGTCTGTGTGTATGTATTACAGGGTTCATCTGCTGACAGACTGCTGTACATTCAGAAACAAGCCACTGCAAGAACAATGAGGCTCCCTGCCAATCAAGATTTCTGAAATTTCATACTATGAAAAGAAAAGGTAAATCCTGGGCTTTTGTAATAAAGGAGGCTCTCAGAACACATTTGTATTTTGGTAATCTTGGTAATGATGATCAAACAGGGCAACATACCTGCTGCAACAAGTTGGAAGATGTGTCTTTTCAAGAAAACCATGCTTTAGTAGATTCTATCACGTGGTAAGGTTTACTACCTCTCTAATCAAAGTCTCCTGGGACTCAAAACTAATCCATGAACACAGTATGTTAGTTGTTCAGTCATATCTGACTCTTTCCGACCCCATGGACTGTAGTCCACCAGGTTCCTCTGCTGTTTGCACGTTAGGCAACAGTTACCACCCTTCACTCTCCATACATGCACTTTTATGATAAGATCACTTCAGTTTGGAAAACTGACCCAGTAAGATATAGTTTTCAATCTAGAGTTCCAGAAGGGCACTAACCCAGGACTCTGTGCCTCCAAATTCAGCTGTCTTGATCTTCAACTTTTCAGTTGCATGAGCACAAGACATGTCTTTTTTCAATCCAATTGCATTGGATATCTGCTGTGTATTGATAAATATTACTAAATGTCGAATATTTTGCTATGTATTTAGAATCAGTTTCATCTAAAGACACAAGAGTTACTGATTAATCCAAAAATAATTTGATTTTTTTCTTTAGAATATATAGCTAAGTTTTTTTAGGGAAAAGTATTGCCTGCTTAATTCTCCCTCTAGAAGGCTAAAATTGGTTTAAAAACTCTAAGCTTATAGATGGAAAGTTTCTTTGGAATGGGGGTTATGGTTTAAACTCCCACATCACAGGTATTTAATGTCTGTTCAACAGATCCCAAGGGTCATTGGAAGAGAGGCAGTTCCAATGGCTGTTCAAGTCAGAGAAAAGTCAATGACTTGGATATTTCCTGTAACTAGTTTCTGTGGGGCTTCCCCAAAATCTGAATCTTAAGACAGAGACATTTTATTTTATTCAAAAACCCAAGCTATAAGAAAATGTACCATATAGTTAATTCAGCACTCTACCAGTAGGATGGTCAAGGTCTGGACTCTGTAGTAGGGTAAATTACCCACTATTCAGAAAAGGGCTATATCCTCAGAATAACAGCAAACAATATATAGATAAACAGGACGTGAATGAAGTGGGATGAAAGAGAAGGCAGTACAGAAGGAATCACGGATGTGCTAGAGCTAAAAGAGCCACTGCCTGTGATTCCCATTCCAGTGATCTCTGCATACCACCTACTTTACTGGAGCCCCAGCTTTGCTGACCCATAAAAGGGCTGCTGCTAAGTCGCTCAGTCGTGTCCGACTCTGTGCTACCCCATAGACAGCAGCCCACCAGGCTCCCCCATCCCTGGGATTCTCCAGGCAAGAACACTGGAGTGGGTTGCCATTTCCTTCTCCA